ATTCCATTAGCCTGGTACTTCAGAGTCTCAGAGGGGTGAGGTGTCTTGTTTTTATATCACTATCGTGTTTGCGGAGAGTTAGTATGGTTCTTAAGTTACCCATATGCAAGCTAATTATCTGTAGACTATTTTACTCCCAGGTCCTATATGGATGGAAATTAGATAAAAACTCCAACTTCAACAATATAATTTTGGTAAGTTTTCTGTCCACCTATTTTGCTCCTAGCACATATAAAAATGTGATATCCTTTTGGAATTTGCTCTTAAGGCTGGCCACACACACTTACTTGTTTGGATGGAGGAATCCTGGCTAAACGATAGAACCAAATTCCCCCATTCACACAAATAAGGAGCATAGAGGACCCCTCCTTCCCCGCCAAGACATTGTATTCTGAAAGCAGCACCTGCTACTGCCACAGCAGTCACTGATAGTCTGCATTTTCTTACATGTCCTTTCAACACAAATCAATTTAACCAATTCCCGACCGTGCTAAAGCCAAAAGACATCTACAGCGCGTGCCCCCTAGAGCATGCACTGGGCATGATCTGTGATTGATCGCTGTGTCCTTTGGACATGTAAAGAGCCAATCAGAGCAGCCTTTTACCATGTGATCAGCTGTGTCCAATCACAGCTGGCCACAGTGTAATTAGTTAAAGCCAGTTATCGGCAGTCCTCTCCTCACACTGACAGCACATGAGGAAAGGACAGCCAGTAAGTAGCATTTCTTTTAGGGGACATCTGCACTGATCATCAGGGCACTGATCATCAGTGCCCTGATGACCAGTGTAACCCCATAAGTGACCATCAGTGTGTCTAATAGTGCCCACCAGTACTTTGCATCAGTGCCCATCAGTGCTTTGCATCAGTGCCCATCAGTGCTGGCTGTCAGTACCCATCAGTGATGCCTGTCAGTACCCATCATTGCTGCCTATCAGTGCCCATCAGTGCCGCATATCTGTGCAGCCTCATCAGTGCCTCCTCAACAGTGCACATCAGAGCAGCCTCATCAGTGTCCATCAGTGCAGCCTATCAGTGCCCATCAGTTCAGCCTCATCAGCGCACATCAGTGAAGGAGAAAAATTACTTATTTAAAAAACTGTATAACAGAAACTACGAAAAACTTTTTTTTCAACATTTTTAGTTCTTTTTAATTTCTTTAGCAAAACAAACCCAGTGGTGATTAAATACCACCAAAAGAAATTTCTATTTGTTTAAAAAAAACATGAGAAAAATTTAGATTGGGTACAGTGTTGAATGACCGTGCAATTGTCATTCAAAGTACAACAGTGCTGATAGCTGAAAATCGGCCTGGGCAGGAAGAAGGTAAAAGTGCCTGATAGGCAAGTGGTTAATCAGTGTATGGGAAGCTTAAGGTCTCCATATATAAAGACAGCTTTATTCTTCCAGGTTTGTGGTAGCCCTGAAGTAGGATTGTTTTCCACAGCAAACAAAATGGTGTGGAATGGTGAATGAGCTTAGCAAGCATTATATGATATCACCTGTTTAAATACTGTGATGGGGTGATTAAACTCATGGTGAGGGTTTTTTTAGTGAGTTCATGTCAGTCTAAATTGTTTTTTAAAGATTTCTGGCCCACTTTTATTAAAAGGAACAGCAAACGAAATTAAAAAGTTCACAGTTTTCCACACAGGGGATTTTCTCCAGTAAACAGATAACTAAAAAATGCCAAGCCACGTGGATCTCTTTTCAGCCAAACCTCTGCTCCTGGCACTAGTCCCTCAGACCCAGCTCTCTGGCTCTCCCAGTTCACTCAGCCTTTGTTACAGCACCTCATTGCACGGGCTCACTACTAGCCCCTAGATAGGGGATGTTTTGACACCCTGGGCTATCTAGCTCTTCTGAGACGTACAGACGCCTTCTTGTCCCCTTGACTCGCTAGTCGCCTCAGCTCTCTCAGTCCTGCCTACGCACTCAGCAGTCTTGTCTCCTTAGTGGACCACCTCTCCTGGCTGGAACACACACCTATCTCCAAGTAAGGGCCCTTAGCTTATAACGAATATGCACTCTTGTACATTTACACAGTCTGCAGGTCTACAACAAGACCTGGACAGACTATTGAAGGATTTGTCTCACCCAAGATATTTTGAAGCCTTCAAGCTCCAGGCCCTAATAGATTACCAAACCCAGAAAAATCTGAAAAAATAGTTTTTTTTATGCTGCTCACATATTCTGGAGCCCCAGACTCTGGATAAGAGGAAATCCTGTGTAACATTTTTCTATACTCATACTATTACGGGTCTTACACATACACATACAATAACTGTGCAAAAAAGAGTAATAACATATAATAGAAAAAAATGATGATAGAAAAAAGAGTAATAACATATGATAGAAAAAATGATGGTAGAAAAAAGAGTAATAACATATGATAGAAAAAAAAAATGATGATAGAAAAAAAAGAGTAATAACATATGATAGAATGACTTGGGTGCCGTACATATATGACATATTATACGTTTTCTGAATTTGGATGAATCTTCCTTTCATCATCTCATGGTCAGGGATTTCAGACCAGTGTAATTCTTCTGCTCTGCTGTCTGTAGAATTAATTGGAAGTGCATTGCTAAAGGGTTTTCCACATCTCATGTTATAAAATAATATTCCTTTATGTGGGAAAGGTATGTCCAGTGGCAAGGATGCTAAGACTCCACCAATCAACTGATTGGAAGCTGTTCCATATTTGTGCAGTTGTTATATATATACTATGCATATTTTTTTTTCAGCCACACATTTTAGTGAATTCAGACATTAGGACATATTTCTAATGCAAATTTCAAGGGGATGTACCTCAAGTGAGCAGAAATTACATTCTGGTTCTGGCAGCACTTCCAATTCAAGTATTCAGCATTGGGTCCACTATACAGGGCTCATAGTGGTGGTTTTGACACTCTCACTAATCTCTTATTTGGAATTTACCACTGCCTAATCTCTGCTTTACTGTATCTGTCCTCACAGGCTAGTTGACAAACAAAGCAAGACACATGGTGCTGCATGTACACCAGTGAGTGCCCCCTAAGATGGCTAGGAAACACCAAAAATGGAAAAATTATAAAGGGAAAGGAGGTAGCAGCCAGACGTGAGCTTTTTTTCTGGGTATATAAAGGAAATGGTACATACCGAAGACATGGCTGCAATTACACCTGGAAGCTCCCACAAGACAGACAAATCAAGCTTTATTTGCTTGGTTTGTATCTAAATAAACCTTTGAGGTAGGTAACTATCATAAAGGATGCAGTGGGCAAGCACACCTGAACAGCTACAAAAAAAGCACATATTGAAAGACGTTTCAATTGCAGAGCAGGAATGTAGTTCTTCTATTGCACAATGAAAGACACAGAAAGATTCAATCAGGCAAGAGGTAATTTTTGTCAGGCATGGCTCAAAAAAAGTCAGGGAATGAATCTAAAGTGATATATAAGATGTAGTTTAGTTCTTAAAACAAAATATGCATAGTTTAGTCCACATGAAAAGCTAACAATCTGAACATACATTGCATCAAATATCATTAAAATTGTGAGAGTCTTGCAAAACAAATGGGATAATACAAAAGAATTATATTGAACAATTGCTTCTTTATGTGGGAAAGATATTTTTCTCTGTTTTTGTGGTACAGAAGGTACACAGGGTTCTAACTCACTCCCTTCACCTAGAAGTATGCCAAGACTGTTATCAGTAAGGTTCATAAATTATCAGGACAGAGATATTATTTGGAGAAAACCACATAGTCTTGAAGTTATTGCAATTAATGGCACAAAGATTTTACTGCAAGTGGAATTTTCATCAGAGGTTCAAGAAAAGGCTAAGTTTCAAAAAATTCAAAAAGCCTCCCAAAGTTGAAAGTGTTATATGCAATGTTCATTCTGGCACGGTTGAGGATTTTTGCTAGTTGCTGGTTGAGAAATAATTTCTTCAATACACCAGCTTTCTTTAAATAATAAGTGTTGCACTATAACAAAAAACTATATAAGAAAAAATAATGAAAAACAATAACTGTGAGAAAAACAGTGTTCAAAGTGTAGTAATGAAAAGACCCAAGTGAAAAAAATAAGTAACAAGAATAAAGTCCTGCGAAATAAATGTAACAGTACCGTTTAAGAGGAATACTCCAAGATCCAAGATCTTCTCCCTTTTCTTCACAATCACCAGTGTCACCCAAAACCACAGTGAAGGCAAGATGTGGGTTTAGCAAATATACCAACCAACCCCCTTATTCAGAGTGGTCAGTAAGAGCCTAAATTGCTATATCACAATGACAACTCTCCAGTGCAAATGCTGATATCTAACACTGCTTCTCAGATGGAAGATAATTATAAAAAGGTTGATACACTCAAATGAAAACAAAAAGATAAACACCTCTCATAGTGCAGATATCATAAAACACCATTTAAATAACAAAAGCTGCACTAACAAACATCGAAAAGCATATTCATAACAACATATTCACCAAGTGTCAGAATTTGTGTCAACTTCCAGTAAAATGTACAAGATGACATCACGGGGAGGCTCTGCAACCTTCTTGATTGATAAGAATGAAAAGCATTTATGTTACATATGTAATCAAAATGAATGGCTGAAAGAAATCTAATGAAAACATAATATATAATGATTGGTAGACTGCAATATATTACATTTTTGTTTTTGGGTTTAATACCTCTTTAAGTATTTGGATAGGTTTATTCTACACCAGGAGTATTTTTGTGTTATTCTTTATATGCTTGTGTAGTTTGTTTTCACAGGCCAACATACCGTATTTTTTGCTCCATAAGATGCACTTTTTTTTCCCCCCCAAGAAAAGGGGGGAAATCTGAGTGTGTCTTATGGAGCGAATATGGAGCGGCCGATCTCTTATTTCTGCAGCCGCCACCGTGTCAGAATACCAGGCCAGCTGCTCAGCTCTTCTCTGCAGCAGTGCCTTACCTGTTCCTCGGTCCAGCACTGTACAGTCTTCCCGCACCGGCAACTTTAGTGTGACAGCCGGGTGTCCACTGCACATGCGTGAGAAGCACTGTGCTTTGTGAATGGTCCGGCATCTTCAGGGACACATGACAGCCGGGTGCCCGCACTAAAGGGAGGACAACTCCGCTGGCCATTCACAAAGCGCAGCGCTTCTCGTGCCTGCACTAAAGGGAGGAAAACTCTGCGGAAGTGGGAGCGGGTACCTGTCAAATTCAGGTACCTGCTCCCCCTCCCTCCCCAAAGGTCCACAGTCTCTGGTCATCCCTGTACTGTCTGCAGTCTCTGGCCATCTGTACAGTACTGTGTCCGCAGTCTCTGGTCATCCCTGTACTGTCTGCAGTCTCTGGTCATCCCGGTACTGTGTCTGCAGTCTCTGGTCATCTCCGGTAGTGTCTGCAGTCTCTGGTCATCCCTGTACTGTCTGCAGTCTCTGGTCATCCCCTGTACTGTCTGCAGTCTCTGGTCATCTCCTGTACTGTCCGCAGTCTCTGGTCATCTCCTGTACTGTCCGCAGTCTCTGGTCATCTCCTGTACTATGTCCGCAGTCTCTGGTCATCTCCTGTACTGTGTCCACAGTCTCTGGTCATTCCCTGTACTGTGTCCACAGTCTCTGGTCATCCCCTGTACTGTGTCCGCAGTCTCTGGCCATCCCCTGTACTATGTCGGCAGTCACTGGTCATCCCCTGTACTGTGTCCGCAGTCTCTGGTCATCTCCTGTAGTATGTCCACAGTCTCTGGTCATCTCCTGTAGTATGTCCGCAGTCTCTATTCATCTCCTGTAGTATGTCCGCAGTCTCTGGTCATCTCCTGTAGTATGTCCGCAGTCTCTGGTCATCTTCTATACTATGTCCGCAGTCTCTGGTCACCTTCTGTACTGTGTCCGCAGTCTCTGGTCATCTCCTGTACTATGTCCGCAGTCTCTGGTCATCTCCTGTACTGTGTCTGTAGTCCATAGGTTCAGAATATTTTTTTTCTTGTTTTTCTCCTCTAAAACCTAGGCGCGTCTTATGGTCAGGTGCGTCTTATGGCTTTTGATGTTTAATCCTTATGCTGCTGGCATTAGTAAATAGATAGGAATGTATTCTATATTTACTAGTTTTAAAGTTTTTTTTTACATTTCTGCAGTTATTTCCTGATTTCCCTGCCTAAGCAAATGATGTCAACCATCCAAGCAGTCTTCAGGAGGGAAGGAGGCGTTTTCTCAGCTAAGCCCAACCTCCTGCCTGCATGCCTGAGCTAAAGGCAGATAGATTGCAGAAAATAAATGCTACATGAATCTTCTGCAATTACTCAAGATGGCCATGGGCAAAAATGCTAGGGCGGTGTTTTTCCAAGTGATTTCTTAGCAAAATAAAGTATGGGGAAATGGATGGATGGGGGAGTTTGCTGAATAATAGTGTTTTAGTTCGTGGTGCTCAGATGCAGTGTAGTGCTGTTTTGTTTTTGTTTTCTTTTTATTAACAGTTGCGTTTATTGAAATCGTACAAAAGTATAACAAAGCAAGGTACATAAGAACAGGCAAACTTTTGACAATCAGTAAAGATACAATACACATGGCATTTCAATGCTAAAGATCATACGTAGTCAACTGGTCATCCTGAATAAATGCAGGGGGGAGAAAAGAGAAAAAGGGAAGACTGGGGTGGGGGGGAGAAGAAGAAGAGGGGCAAGAAGGAGAAGCGAAGCATAAACATAAACAATAGCCAAGCAAATAAACAGTACAAACTGGACATACCCGCAAGAGAATAATCCAAGTGTTATACCGTAAGGCCCTGAGCCTCCACCCACCCAGCCCATATTCTATCAAATTTAGCTGGATAATTACGACTCATAAGTAAGTTTGTACAACGGAAGCGCCCAGTTGATTGCCGATTTCCATCCCGAGACTGTCGGTGGGACCGACTGTTTCCATTTCAACAAAAGTTCTCTCCTAGCATAGTAGAAAGCGTAAAAGATGAACAGTCTATTATGCTTTGGCATCTCCAGGAGATCCAAGAGACCCAGCAACATAATCAGCGGATCCAGGGGAATAGACAATTTACTAATAGCGTTAATAATATCTAGCACCACGACCCAGAAGGGGAGAAGCTTGGAGCATTCCCAAAAAACATATGGAGAAATGTGCCCACCTCCATATCACAGCGCGGGCATGTGGTCGATCTATCAGGATATATCACAGCCAAGCGGGGTGTAATATACTCTATGGATAAATTTAAGCTGTGTGAAACGGTTCTTGGCTGAGATCATGATAGGGAGGCACTGTAGAAGACAATCCTCCCAGTCATCCTCTGAGAGCAAAGGGAGGTCTGCGTGCCATTTATCAAAGAGCACCTGCATTCTAGGGGTAGAAAGGGGTATCAACAGGGAATATAGAGAGGACAATGGTTTAGGCAAGTCCTCCAATAGCGATAGGTTTTCTAACGGATTTGTCTGAATGGTCAGTGGAGAAAGAAATTGAGTGGCCACCGCATGACGCAGTTGTAAAAACTGGAAAAACATTTGGTTAGGCAGGCCATGATTGTGTTTGAGTTTGTCAAATAGAAGCAGTATGCCACTAGGCATAATATGATGCAATGTTTTAATGCCATAGCGAGCCCACAACACTGGATCATATTCAAATGGGGGAGGACAGGGTTGCCCCAGAGCGGCATGTGAGGGGAGTAAGAGTTATTTACCCGAAATTGAACTCTGGCCTGACTCCACACCCTCAGGGTTGTCAGCATAGGAAGAGTGATGGCTGAGTTGGACTTTGGACCTCTATGAATTAGGTTACAAAGTTCAGCATATGAACCCAACATTGCCACCTCCAGGATCACCACATCATTATCCGTAGGCTGGGAGATCCACCAGCACACTGTGACCAGAACAGCTACCCAGTAATATAAAAGCAGTTTAGGAAGTGCCAGGCCACCACGATCAATAGGTAAGTGCAGCGTGGAGTGAGAAAGTCTAGGGGCCCTTCCAGCCCAAATAAACCCAGAAATGATGCCATCCACACAACAGAAAAAGGATTGCGAGATCTTAGGTAGAAATATAATTTTAAAAAGATTAACCCGCCAATGGTGCTAATCGGAAGGGAAGACCAAGCAGTACATTTAGTCTGCAACTGTTGCACAAGGGGATGAAGATTGTCCGCTAGATACTTCTTTAAGTCACGTTGCACTGTTACACCCAAGTACTTAAAGTAAGAGACCGATCTAATAGGGGCAAAGGAAATATCAGGTAAGGGCTCCGACGCAAGAGGAAACAGTATGGACTTCTCCCAATTAATACGAATACCGGAGTAGCTACTGAAGCGATTGATAAAACTCAGCACCTCTCTAAGAGATGAATCACAGTCCCTCAAATATAAGAGAGTGTTGTCCACATACAGGGAAACCCTATCCTCCCATTTTCCCACCGGTAGGCCATGTAAAGAATTGGAAGAGCAGATCAGGCAGGCCAAGGGCTCAATTGCCAGGGCAAACAAGCCCGGAGAAAGTGGACAGCCCTGCTGAGTGCCCCTATGGAGAGCAAAAGGGGGGGAAAGGATATTATTAGTATGTACTCTCGTAAGTGGCGCACTGTAAAGGCACCTAATCCATGAAATTAAATGAGGGCCAAATCCGAAAAGATGCAGTGTTTCCCAGAGATACTCCCACTCAACCGAATCAAAGGCCTTCTCGGCGTCCAGGGACAGCACCACCCCAGGGTCATCCCTGTTGCAAGCTGCCGAAATATGGGTGAGCAGTCTCCGTATGTTAATATCTGTACCCTTCCCTGGCAAAGAACCCATCTGATCATGATGCACCACCGCAGAGATAACCGAACCCAGTCTTGCAGCCAGCAGCTTAGCAAGTACCTTCGCATCAGTATTTAGGAGGGAGATTGGCCGATATGAGGAGCATTGAGTTGGGTCCTTCTGGGGCTTTAGAATCACCACTATCACCGCTTGAAGCATGTCAGAGGGCAGAGTTCCTGTCTTAAGGAGTACATTAAAAAGTGTTTGAAAATGGGATGCCATTTGCTCAATGTACGTTTTATAGAATTCAATTGGAAATCCATCCGGGCCCGGCGTTTTACCCGACTTCAGAGCTCCAATCGCCTGCTGGAACTCCTCCAAGGAAATCGGTACCTCCAGGAAGGAAATCTAGTGAACCCTTGCTAAAAGTGCAGGTGTAACATAACAAAGGTCAATTCTAGACAAAGTTCTATGTGATGCTGAGTGACAAGTGTATGCCCTGGTCTCAGCATTTCTCCACCTCCATATATCCGTGAACTGGTAAAGCTCTGCCCATGTGGTTTCAGGATATAACTTAGAGACACTAGGGTCCGTGGTAAGATTAAAATCACCAGCAAGAAGAACATGGGATGTGGGATAGGAGGCCAGGAGCGGGGTCAAGGCAGCCAACGAATGCGCGGAGGCAGGAGGCAGAAAATAGAGCCCAATAATTACCATTTCAAAGCAGCTAATCATCACATAGATCATAACATATTTTTTTTCAAAATGAAAGTCTTTCCAAGTAGCTCAAATGGAATATAAACATAGACTGTAAACATAGACTGTAAGGAGAAGATCTACTAAAAAACTGGTGCACACAGAATATGGTGCAATTGTGCATATCAACCTATCAGCTCAATCTTGTTCAATTAAGCTTTGGCAATAAAACCTAGAAGCTAATAGGTAACTATGCAGAGCTGCACCAGATCCTATGTGCACCAGTTTTATTAAGTCTTCCCCTAAATATCCCTAGGTTTAAAGACATTATTCACCAAGGTGATAGGAAGTCTATTAAGGTAAAGGACTGGAAAGTCTACAGAAGGGTGGGATCAACTGTTCCAGAATTCCCTATCCATGAGAAATTACTGACTCGAATGATCAGGCAGGAGTCACAATAGCATAGGTAGTTTTCCAGAAAAAAAGGTACAAGGAAGGTTAGTATAAGCCATAAACGAATCTACACCTGGGACGGGAGACGGGACTCCCATAGGCATGGTCATATATACAGTGCCAATCAGATTCGACATAACATAGAGCCTGTCAGATTCACTAATGACCCAATTAAAAACAGACCCCACAGAAGTAGACTGTGAAGGTTGGGAATCAGGGTCATAAATAAGGATAGGTACCTCAGGCATACTTAAATGTGAAGTGCCACTAGGCTCAGGTGTATGTGCTGCCGAGGTAGCACTGGAAAGTTATGAATGTCTGCAAGCAGACTGAGTCAATAATAAGAAGAAGCCTATGTTACAAGGTGGCAACATGTTCTTCTGTTTTCCCTGGCACCATCCACTTGTTTCAGCACATCACAGATCTAATGGACTGGTGTTTGATGACACCTGATTCATTAAGCCCTTTCCACCGAGCTTATTCACATATACGGCCTCACTGAAGTGATTCTTCTTCCATGGGGTGGCATATGTGTTTACTTTGTACTGGAATACTGAACAGGGGAGCTACTGTTGTAGGCCTGGATAGGAGGCTAAATTGTACCATTCAGTAGCAATATTGAATAATAAAGGTCACATATCAAAATGTGCTAACCATAGCAGACATGTAGTGATACGGTCAGTGTTCAGAGATCTGGATATACAGGAACTGTGTCAGCAGTTTGAACGCTGTGCTCTGCCAATAATAAGCACAGCACAAGGAATGGAGGACACCACGGTAGAATGGATTGCCTAAAGAAGAAATAC